GACAACTGACAAAACAGCTAAGTCCATACTTTTAAAGAATCCATACCATTTCACTCTTCAGCAAAGCCAATCCAATTTGGTCTGTGTGAACTTTCCTTCCTATCCCAAATCTCTGTGGTCCATAGTAATTCACAAACCCTTTATTCTATAAATACAAAAAAAAAAATCAATTAATTAAAAGTATATTGTTATGGACTGCATGCCTGTGAGCCACCAAAAGTCATATGTTGAAATCCTAACCTCCAATCTGATGGTGTTTGGAGGTGGGGATTTGGGGAGGTAATTAGATCATGAGGATAGAGCCCTCATGAATAGGATTAGTGCCCTTATAAGAAATGGTGGTAGAACTAGCCCACTCTATTTCTGCAGTGTGTGAATACAATAAGAAGACCAGGCAGGAACCCTGATCTTAGGCTTCCAGCCTCCAGAACTATAAGAAGTAATTTTCTCTTGTTTAAAAATCACCCAGTCTATGGTTCTTTGTTATAGCCCCAAACTAAGATAAATAAATACAATTATTGTGTCGGAATATGTAATCAAGTCTTTCTTGTTGTATTTATTTCAATAAAAGAATCTTGTAATTGGCAATATGCACATGGATGCCAAATGGGCTGAGAAACACTATACAGTTAAAATATAGAAAGGAAAAGAACAAATGATTAGAAGTTAGAAATAAGTGAAAAATCTTTAAAAATATGTCAGCTTTTCATTCACATTACTGAGGAGTTTTCTGGAATGTGGGACTCCTGGTGCTAAACTCATGAAAGTTCTGGGAAAACTGGGATGTACTGGTTACCTACTATTGGATCTGCACTTTGCCCTCAAGCTCTTTCTGATTTTGAGACTTCTGCTATCTGGAGATGCTTGAAATACAAAGCAGATTTATTTTCAAACCCAGCAAGTCTTGGCTTCTTTATATATAATGGTTCATTTTTCGATTATCTCAGTTTCTGAAAGCCTGGGCCAAGGCAATGGCATGGAGTCACTTCAGCAGGAATAGAAAATTGTAATTTACCACTGCAACCATTAAAGACATTGGTCAGTGGTTAAACATGTTCTCACAAAGCAAACCCCAGGCCCAGATGGTTTCTTGAAAGACAGAAGAGTTCTCTACACTCACTTTATGGGGGAATATATATTCATTCAACAATGATTATCAAGCACCAACTCCAGGACTGTTCAATAAAAGATGCTAAGATAATTTGTAATCAGCACGGTGCACAAGGAACTGCGTCCTGACCTCATGCCACAAAGATCAACTGCAGATAGAATAAGTACTCCCTGTATTAAATCTCACAGTTAAATACTTTTACTTATTTCAAATTTGGAAAAATAACATTACACAATATCCTCCAAACACCAGAAGAGTTTTAAGTACCCCTCCAAATTACTTAGGGTTAGTTATATAACAAAAGGTTTATAACCCTTTAAAACAAAACTCCAAAAACTTCTTATTTTCAGGACTTCTCAACTTCCTTCCCCTCATCATGAGAGCTAAAGGAAAGTTGGCTAAATCTAAGATTATTCCTAGTGGGGATTTTAAAATGTATATGCATAAATACCAAATGAAAGTCTGGCAATAAATGCTATCAGAGTTCAGAAAACCCCACTCCTTTTTCTAAGGGATATCTTTTAAACAGTTTATCAGGGGAAAAAAAAAAAAAAAGAATCTTAGGTAGGTCTAGAAGAAAAGGAAAAAACAACCATATAAAAAGTATATAATCAGGGAATGCCTGTATATTTTAAAGATTTTAAAAATCTTTAGTTGGAAGATATTTTCCTGTTAGGCATGACATTGATTAAAACCTGATTTCTGTTTGTTTGTTTTCCTGCTGGAGAGGCATAAAATTGTGTAAAAAGGTCTTTGTGGTCAGAAACTTAGATCTGTGTTTCTCAGTGTTAGCTGTAGAGAAGAATCACTTAGGGAGTTTTTTTTTTAAACGCTAATGCCTAAGCTGCATCCCCAAATGTATTTTTTTTTTTTTTTTTTTTCCTGCAGTACGTGGGCCTCTCACAGTTGTGGCCTCTCCCGTTGCGGAGCACAGGCTCCGGACGCACAGGCTCAGTGGCCATGGCTCACGGGCCCAGCCACTCTGCGGCATGTGGGATCTTCCCGGACTGGGGTACAAACCCGTGTCCCCTGCATTGGCAGGCAGACTCTCAACCACTGCGCCACCAGGGAAGCCCCCAAATGTTCTTATTTAATTGGTTTGGGAGAAGAGACAGACTGCTGAAATGTTTTGAAAGCACCCCAGGTTGAGCATTATGGGTCTAGATCAGGAGTTAGCAAGCTATTAACTGGCCCACAAGTCAAATCTGGCCCAACACCTGTTTTTGTAAACAAGGTTTTTATTAGAATATGGCCATGCTCATTCATTTACATATTGTCCATGGATGCTTCCACACAACAGCAGTAGAGTACCTGCAACAGAGACCATATGCCTACAAAACCACAAATATTTATTATCTGGCCCTTTACAGAAAAAAGTTTGCTGAACCCATAGTCTACATGATCAGAATGAAGGCTATGGTTGTATGTGCATATTTAGATGCCTGGCAAATGTTATTTAAAAACTTATGGTAAGTAATTTTTTTACTGTAAGACAATATGTATATGATTTATCATTTGTATACACTGAAACAAAATTCAAAATTAGACTGAAGAGAAAAAAGATTCTGAAAAGTAATATAAAAACTATTTGCCAAAGATTTCTGAAAAGAATTACTAGACAAAGTTCCCCCCAAAATTAATCTCTTTGCCTGAAATACTACTCTATATGACAGATACTAAAAAAACAAAACAAAACAAAACAATCTGTCTTTTTATACAGATAGTTTTTACCCCCACACTGAGGAACACTATACAATTTTTTTTATTACACTGAAGTTGTGTTTTTTCAATACAAAAATGTGTACTAAGGAGAAAAATAAAAAAATAAGTCAAATGGCCCTAATTATCATTTTAAAAAATAATTATACATGCAATAAAAAGAAAAGGTACAAAAGAAAAAGAAAAATTTCCCTTCTTATCTCAATGTAAAGGAAGGGACTATAAAGATTTTCCTATAATACTCTATTTTAAAGTGCAGTTTGGGGACATCCTTGGTAGTCCAGTGGTTAAGAATCCGCCTTCCAATGCACGGGACACGGGTTTGATCCCTGGTTGGGCAACTAAGCCCGCTCACCACAATTAGAGAGCCCACGCACTCTAGAGCTCACGCGCCACAACTAGAGACAAGCCCACATGCCGCAATGAAAGATCCCGCATACAGCAACTAAGACCCAACTAAGCCAAAAATAAATTAATTTTTTTAAAAAGTGCAGTTTTCTTACCTTAACATTTTCTACTGCCTCCAAAATTCTCTCTCTCAGGTTTGCAGAATCATTTATTTGATTTTTTAAATTTCTGATGACAATATCAAAGTGATTTCCTTTGAGCTGACCGAGTCTAAGGGAATCATCTACAGACTGAATATTAAACACATTCATTCTTTTCTTTTCAATTTCTTTTTCAATATTTTTCAACCTATAAATGATAAATCATATAGACTCAGTTAAATCTTACATTTAAAAAATTAGTTTAAATGCTTAAACATTAAAAAATTATGTTAAAAATGTCAAAAAGTTAGTTTAAATAAAGTTTAAATGACAGTTGGCAGACAACCACTTATATCAGAATACTAAAATAAAAATTGGGGGAACTATTTCAAAAACACATCTTTCATTTATTTCAACAAATGTACACTAAAAACCCTTTATCATAGGAATATATTAAGAGTTATTTTAAGAACTGGAACACATATACCTAATGCTACTACTCTATGTAGCCTTCTGACTTCTTAGTTCAAGGGATAGAACCTCTTAACTGTTCTCTGCTCTTCCTGTCCTTAGACTTTGCTCCTTTCCTCCTCAGTCTCTCTTTCTCCAATGTTACCAAAAAACCACTAGTGCCAGAGGATTTTCCTAAAATTCTGCTCTGAACACTTCCTTATTCAAATTTTCAATTTTTCACCAACATCTAAATAATAGATTCCAATTGTCTTAGCCTAACTTTTAAGATCCTATAAGAACTGATGTAAATTCTTCTTTACATCATATTTTCTGTAGTCCTTACAGGAACTACCTGCTTTATTAGGCAGACTTTTTAGCTTACTGCCCCTCTAAACTATCTTCAGATTTTCTGCATCTGCTAAAATCTTACTGTTAGTTGATGGGTAATTAAAATCCCCTACCCATAAGCCAAATCAAAGTACCTGCTCCTCCTAGAAACTAATAACTTGTATTGTCTTTGATGGTTAAAAACTAATTTTTAACATCTAAATACCTTTTAACATCTAAAGTCATTCTCTCTTACTATACTGCACTTTTTGACCACAAAGACAAAATCACAAACAATTTTTTTTTGTCCCACATATAAGAACTTTGAAACATCTACCTGCAAGTAGTGAATACTTAAACATCTGATGACTGAAGATTAATATATCAATATTACATCAAGTTAGGCAGAATTATGGTTCAATGATTCAACTTTCTGAACTTTATCTTGAGGAAAGTATCCACAAGGCACAGATTTAAGTACAATCATATTAATCACAGTAGTATTTACAGTGAAAAACTGGAATAAATTTCTATGTCCCAAAACAGAAGAATGTTAAATAAATTAGTCTGTATAATGAACATGACTCTGAAATATTTCATGACATAAATTTTCATTAAGAATACTAATTATTTTTATAAGTAAAATATAAATTACACACACAGTGCGATTTTCACATATGTAAAAAATGGCTTTGTAGCATCTGTATGTAGCACAGTATTTGAAAAAAGACTGGAAGGAAATGGATCAAAGTGTTACTGTGGTTATTTCTGAGTAAGAGAACTTTTAGTGACATTTAATTTCTTTTTTATTCTATTTTCTAAATCTTCTATAATAAACATGTATTTCTTCTAAATACACGTATTATCTTCTAAATAATACATGTACTATCTTCTAAATAAACGTATTATCTTCTAAATAGAGTTTTGTTTTGTTGTTCAATAGAGTTTTGTTTCTAAATAGAGTTTAGAGTTCTAAATAGAGTTTTGTTTTGTTCAACAACAAAACTCTATTTAGAAGCTAATTATACTATTAATGCAGAATATGTGCTGAGTAAGCCTGCAATCAATTACTATTGATAGTGAGATTAATATGCTCCCAGTATTATTCTGAGTTTTTGATGCAATAAGAAAATAAAGTCTGTCCTTTAAAGTAACATCTTATTACCTCTCTGGCGTCACTTTTCTAACAACCATTGCTTGATAAGTGATGGCTTTCTTGTCTTTAAGTCCTGCATAACTAAAATCCGAAGGAATCACTCCAAGTTTGATAGCTAAAAAACCAACTGCTTCAAACATTTCCAGATTTTCTTTTCGTAGGGTAAAGGCTGAAACAAAAATAATCCCCGATTACAAAAAAACCAGCTAACATACATCAACTACATTCTTAGCAGACTGACAGGTCATTATAATGAATCAAATCACTAATTTAAATAATGAGTACTTTTTAATCAAAATACAACCAGTAAAATACAAAACCTCATGGATTTCAGCGCTCATTTTTAAAATTCTAGTGGGCTCATTAAAGGCTTACAGAAAAAAAAAAAAAATCCAAATTCCCTGATCTGATGCTCATACTGGCCCCAGTCACATTAGCCCTAATCTACCCTTCCAGTCTCCGCATGTGTCACTCCCATTCATATAACCTATAATCCTAACACAGAGAACTCCTCACAATCCTTGGATGGACTAGAGCCTTCATGTGCTCCCTCCATTTACTATTTGCCATACTTCTATTCATGCTTCAAGACCCAATGGCCACAGCAGCAATCCCGTTTGTCTTGTTTTTGTTTTGGCGGTAAGCGGGCCTCTCACTGCCTTGGCCTCTCCCGTTGCGGAGCACAGGCTCCGGATGCGCAGGTTCAGTGACCATGGCTCACGGGCCCAGCCGCTCCGTGGCATGTGGGATCCTCCCGGACTGGGGCACGAATCCGTGTCCCCTGCATCGGCAGGCGAACTCTCAACCACTGCGCCACCAGGGAAGCCCTATCTTATTGACCATTATATCTTCAGCCTAACACATAGTAAGTATTCAAGTATTTATTGAATGGATGAATAAATGAACTTTACAGGAAGTTAATTACTTAAATCTGCATGTCTCCACTAGCTGTCATTATCTATATTGTGACACTGAACACCATGTTATAATTTATCTCTTTAAACTGTGCACCCCACGGACTGGGAGTTCCAGGCCAGCAAACCAGGAAATAAAACCATACTTGCTTCGTGCTAGCTGCTTCAAATGTCTACTAGATGAGAGAGTAGGAGTGAGGGTGCAGAAGAGGAAGGAGGAACAAGCGCAGTAACGGCCACCAAAACAGCCCCCCAACTTGTTGGCCTATATAACCTGCCAACATTGACAGTAACAAAATACCTCAATCCTCAGTTCACCATATACATATAAGATGCTTCAAAGTACTGCCCTTTTCCCTCAAATCATGAAAAGGAAATTCAAAGTTTTCTGCAGAATAATTTCTATTTTGTTCACCTCTTGTAACTGTCATCAGCAGCTACATGGGTCTCTCTGAGGAGTGCTCTAAGAAAAATGAACATTTAACGTACATGTGACTCAGGAAGTAGAAGGATGTGAAATTTACCTATCTATCTATCTCTGAACATATGAAATAGCTAAACAAAAGCTTGTAATATCTACACTTTAGAAATCACACTGTTTAAAAGAAAGGGAAAGATCTGTATGTTCTTTAGATCTCTATATAAATAAACCTCAAAAAACATGAAAATAGCAAGTCTCAAAAATATGAAGAAAAACATGCATTTATGAAAAAGTTTTTTTTTTTTTTGTGGTACGTGGGCCTCTCACTGTTGTGGCCTCTCCCGTTGTGGAGCACAGGCTCCATACGCGCAGGCTCAACAGCCATGGCTCACGGGCCCAGCCATTCCGCGGCATGTGGGATCTTCCCAGACCGGGGCACGAACCCGTGTCCCCTGCATCAGCAGGCGGACTCTCAACCACTGCGCCACCAGGGAAGCCCTATGAAAAAGTTTTTAAAATCAGCAATAATGCTTCAATATTTGTACATATTGTGAAATGATCACTACAAAATTTTTTTCCTTGTGATAAGAACTGTTAAGATCTACTCCTTTAGCAACTTTCAAATATATAACACAGTATTATTAACTGTAGTCACCATGCTGTACATTATATCCCAGGACTTATTTATCACTGGGAGTTTGTACCTTTTGACCATCGATGAATAAAATAGATTATTTTAAATAAATTCATATCTTTTAAAATTCATTTTAAATTGCTAATAGGTTAAATACAATTAACACATAAACAAAAGCTGTTTGGGGTTCACAGTAATTTATAAGAGCTATACTAGTCCTGGAACCAAACATTTGAGAATCAATTAGTAATAATGTGAAAAAATATAGTAGTCTTTCAAATATACCAAATCTACGGAATTAGACACCACTAAAATATCTTAAAAGTGTTGCGGCAGCCTGGCTAGGAGGTACAAACTGTGAAAAACAGACCAAGAAAGTGTATTATATAAAGTAAGAAGGCTAGGAGAGCAACACTTAAAGTTTTAAAGGACATGTGTTTGATAACTAGAGTTCAATGCGTCAAATCTGTCCCTGACAATCGAGGCATGTCACTCACAGGTCATTAGGCAAGCTCAGCCATCTAAGAAGGAGCCTCCAAACTGTCTGAGATTATATCAGTTTGTTGCTGATTAGCCTTAGTGCATAGGTATATTTTATCCATGAAGATACAGAATTTAGAATAGAAATATTTAAGACGATCAAATTCACGGTTTTTAGTATTTGTGTTAATGAATGTCTTATGCACTTGGAATGTTTAAGGTAATGAAACTCAAGTAATTCCAATTAAAAGTGTCTAATTGATTTAAACTTGTCTTTCTTACACTGAAATCTCATTAAGTTAGTAAATAATATTGGCACATATAAGAAAATGTAAACATCACCAAATTTATGTTGAATTTATAAGATTTATAACATTTTCTTAATTAGTTGGAATAAATGAAGTATTGGAAAAGAAAATCAACTATGCTAAATTTTAAAATTCAATTTTAGAGACTTCCACTTCTAGCACCATGTTGGAATAATTGGTACCAACTTTGAACTCCCACTGTAAACAAACAGAAAACTAGACAAAACATATGAAACACCTGTCTTTGGACCCTGGACTAAAGGCATCACAGAACTGTGATCCAAAAGGAAAAGCAAAACAAACGAGGTGAGTCTTAAAATACCATGGTTTTGGGCTTCCCTGGTGGTGCAGTGGTTGAGAGGCCGCCTGCTGATGCAGGGGACACGGGTTAGTGCCCCGGTCTGGGAGGATCCCACATGCCGCGGAGCGGCTGGGCCCGTAAGCCATGGCTGCTGAGTCTGCGCGTCCGGAGCCGGTGCTCCACAACGGGAGAGGCCACAACAGTGAGGGGCTGTGTACCGCAAAAAAAAAAAAAAAAAACAACACATGGTTTTCTAACTAGGGGTACTTTCTGGGCCAGGGAGGAGGAATCCAAGTAGAGCACGGTGGTCTTGCTGAGGCTGGAGTTCAAGAAGGCCCAGTGGGCTGGAATTCATAGTGCAGAGTAAGAGAACGTGTTCCAGAAATCTGCATAGGTGATCCCTTGAGTTCCTTGCTGATTAGTAATCTGCATGCCTAGAATTAAATGTTACATATCATTTATCTAGTGTTGTGTAACAAGTTGCCCCAAACCCTACTGGCTTACAATGTTCACTTATCTCTCAGAACTTCTCTGGAGCAGGAATTCAAGAGCACCGTGGTTTGGTGGGTTCTAGCTCAGGCTCTCTCAGGAGGTTGCAGCACAACGTGGCTAGGGCTGCAGTTACTCAAAACTCCTGACAGGAGTTGGAGGATCCATTTCCAAGGGGTTCACTCACTCACATGGCTGGCAAGTTGGTACTGGCTATTGGCGGAAGGCCTCAGTTCCTCTCCAAAGAGCTGCTTTAATAGCCCTAAAGTCTGGTAGCTAGCTTACCCCAAAGTGAGCCATCCAAGAACTGTGCGCAAAAAGTGCAATACCTTTTATGACCTAGCCTTAGACATCACACACCATCACTTCTGTCATGTTCCATTCGTCACACCAGCCACTGAGAGTCTTCTCAGATACTGAGAATCTACCTTCTGGCTCTAATACTTTATGTCCCACCCCCATTCAAAATATACTCGGTCTTTCCCAATGCCCCAAAGACTCATCCCATTAAAACATCAGCTCAAATTCTAGTAGTTTTCCTCTCTATCAGGTCCAGTGTGGATAGGCTCCTTAAATACATAGTAGAGCTGTATGACAGCACTAGTGTAAAGCCTACTCTGGACCTCCGTTAATAAAATTCAAGATGAAGCCTCAGATGGATCTGCAAACTACTTCCTACCTGCTAGAGCATGTTCAACACTCTCTAAAACAAGACAACAAAATCCAGACACTCAACAAGGTAACACTCACAATGTTTGACCTCCAAAAACTAGTATTGGACATGCAAAGAAGCAGGAAAATATGACCCATGAGCCAAATAAAAGTCAGTCAATAGAAACAGACCCAGAAACAACAGAGATGAAATTAGCAGACAAATATTTTTAAAGACCCATTAAAAATAGGCTCGAACTGCGCTCTAGAGCCCGTGAGCCACAACTACTGAGCCCACGTGCCACAACTACTGAAGCCCATGTGCCTAGAGCCCATGCTTCGCAACAAGAGAAGTCACCGCAATAAGAAGCCCACCCACTGCAAGGAAGAGTAGCCCCCGCTCGCAGCAACTAGAGAAAGCCCGTGCGCAGCAACAAAGACTCAACGCAGACAAAAATAAATTTAAAAAATTTTTAAAAAAAGACTCAAAGATTATAGGAAAACATGAACATAACAAGAAATTGAGGACCTAAGAAAGAACCAAATAAAACTTCTAGAGCTGATAAATGCAATACCTAAAATGAAAATGTCATTGGATGCTTAAATTTTTCATACAATTCCTTCTTCAAAAAAGTGTCTAAGAAAACAGTATACCACTACCTCAAAAAATTAAACATAGAATTACCTTATTATCCAGCAATTCCATTTTTGGGTATATACCCAAAAGAACTGAAAACAGGAACTTAAACCAATATAGCCATGTTCATAGCCGCATTATTCACGATAGCCAAAAGATGGAAGCAACTGTGTCCACTGGCAGATGAATGGATAAACAAAATAACAAGATGTATGTATACATACAACAGAATATTATTCAGCCTTAAAAAGTAAAGAAATTCTAACACAGTAAAGAAATTCTAACACACACACACAAGTAAACCTTATAAACCATAAGCTAAGTGAAATAAGCCAATCACAAAAGAACAAAAGTTGTATGATTCCACTTATATGAGATACCTAGAGGAGAGGCTAGGGGAGAAGGGAATAGAGAGTTATTGTCTAACAGACATACAGTTTCAGTCTGAGGAGATGAAAAGAGTCTGGAGATGGATGGCAGTGATAGTTGTACAACAACGTGAATGTACTTAATGCCATTAAACTGTACACTTAAACATGGTTAAAATGGTAAAGTTTATGTTATGTATATTTTATAACAATTAAAAATAAAAGGTTTTTTTAAGTGTTCTATTTTTTAGGTAGGTCTACTTATTAAGGAATTTTTTTATATGAACTATGTTTGTTCTTACAAAAGGCTGGCCTAAGCAAAATCTGGGATAAGCAAAGTTTATCTTTGTCTTTTTCTTTGTTCTTGTACTTATAGGTATCCCAGTATCTTCATACTATCTTCTGGTGAACCATCAATTCCTCTCTTGAACATGTCTCTCCAATTATTCATAGTTTTGGTAAAACTAATTTAAACTAATATATAAAAGTTTCCACAATTTTTTGGTTCATTAATTCAAATGCTGTTAGAATTTCAAGTCGTACAAAATCTACACTTGCTTAAAACACTGATCAGCAATTCTCTCCCCGCGTGTAAAACTAGTTTTGTTTTTCCTTCAAAACAGATTTATCTGTTAACATTTATTGCATGCCTCATGTGTCAACTCCTATACTAGCAGCTTTTTCATGAAAAGGTAAGTCATACAACTGGACAAATTTCCAAGACAGAAGACACCAACATTTGAAAAACGATTACATACTAAATATTTGCATTCATTATTTCATCTAATCCTTAGAGTATCATTGTGAATTAGGCTTTACTACTACCCCATTTTTAAAGTACAACCAAAAGTTATGAATTGTTAAGTAACTTGCCCATGGTATTATTCTTTCCAGTTTTACATTTATGGAAACTAAGTCCTAAAGATATTAAAAAGTTCATAGATCGTTTTATGAACTAAAGTCATAACGTAAAATAAAACCCACATAGCTCCAAGATCCAAACTCTTTTCACTTACATCACAGAGTTCCCTACATAGTACAACCTTGTTTCTGTGCCAGATACACACATTTGTGCAAATCTGAGTTGCTGTTTATATTTTAAATGCTGTGCTGTTTACTTATAAAACAGGACCATCTGAAACACTTGCCATCCTTCACGTAGGATACAGGCCAATTAAACCTGGTCAGCCAAACTTGCAGAGTGAGATTTTATCAGTTCCACTCCATCCTAGAAAGTGAATATATTCCCTAAGACAGTGATTCTCAAAATGTGGTCCCCAGACCAGCAGAAAAAGGATCCCCTGGGAATCTGTGAAAGCCCTACCCCAAACATTCTAAATCAGAAAATCTGAGAATAGGGCTCAGAGATCTCTCTCAACAAGCCCTTTTGGTGATTATAATGCATGCTAAAATCTGAGAATCTCTTCTCTAAAAGACTGACAGCCAAAGGAAGTAAGTTTGCAGGTTCCCTACCTTGGGCAGTTAAGTCCAGCTGTTTTAGATTACAAGGTATTCTCTTCACTTCCCCAAGCACAGCAAACGTATTCTACTTCTCTCCAAATACTTAATTTTAATTAAGATAACTCTCAAAATATGAAATCAAGATTCATCCCCACAACACTTACTTCAATGCAAAGTAACTGCTTCAACTTTATACATTTGTGACTATGTTAACTATAAGTATCTGTATTAAAGACACTTTCATCAATAAGGTTAGTTTTTTGTTTTTGTTTTGTTTTTTTTTTTTGCGGTACACGGGCCTCTCACTGTTGTGGCCTCTCCCGTTGCGGAGCACAGGCTCCGGATGCGCAGGCTCAGCAGCCATGGCTCACGGGCCTAGCCGCTCCGCGGCATGTGGGATCTTCCCAGACCGGGGCACGAACCCGTGTCCCCTGCGTGGGCAGGCGGACTCTCAACCACTGGGCCACCAGGGAAGCCCCAATAAGGTTAATTTTTACAACCAGTGTATTTTGAAAGACTTTCCCTTCCATTAAAAAATAGGACCCATATATTGTTTCCAATATCTCTCTGGACAAGGCTATTTAATTCATTTGAAATTATTCAGCTTTCATGCAACTTTAACTAATTTATCTAAGAAAATAATAATGATGTATTAAATTACCTGTGTATATAACTCTTCTTCCCTGGCATTCATGAAGAGACCTTTTCCTGGGCTTGTGTGCCTTTTCCCGAAATCTTACTGTTATCACTGCCTTTGGATTATCAGCAGCATAATTCGGTTCAGGAAAAGATTTGGTTTCCACAAGATTTCCAAACTTTTTGTTGATAAAATGGTGGACAGCCTTTCGGTGATCTTTGTTTATATCAGGTTTAAAGGTAAATTTGGAATTTTCTTTCTTTGCATCCAAATATTTAAAAAAGTCAAATGCTTCTTCTTCAGATACCAAGTGACAGAGTTCTTGATACTCAAGATTTGGTTTTACAACAATTTCACTGTTTTTTCCTACAGTTATTAAAAAAGGAAATTTCTGCCTAAGAGCACTATGCAAAATAGCCCTCTGGTTTTTGTCAAGGATTCTGCCTAATGAGAATTCAGAAGATGGTCCAATTAGTTCAGTTTTAGAATTCCACTTCTCTTTTACATCACAGGCAAACCGATTCAGTAATTCATTAGTTTTTTCATCTAACAAGGATCCTAACACATCAATGTTTTCTTCTTCACCTTTGGAAGTTCCATCTTCGATAGTGTCTTCCTTTTCTGAACCAGGCTCATAATTTTGGTCATCACCAGAGCACCCAGCCAAAGTACTGACTTCTTGATTGCTTCTCTCGTCAAAGGATAAATTTTGAGGATCTAGGTTTGTTTTTTTAGCCAAATTATTTGGCACAGGTAGTATTTTATTAACCTTGTGAATAGGTTCATCACTGGCTTTATTAACTAACTGTCCCTGTTCATCAATCTCAATAACAACAAAGTCACTTGGTGAGCTTTTTATGGTGCCATGAAATCCCACGTGATCTGTAATGAAACAAAGAGAACTAAACCTGATTCTAAAATCTGTATCCTCTTCCATTCTCAAATAACAATGCCTATAAAAGAAACAAAGAGATGGTCAATTACCAGAAAGAAAAATTCTGGATAAAAAAAAAAGAAATAGGTTTGAAAGATTTATTTAATTCTCCTTCTCCCTCTCCCTTCCAATCCTGAGTCCCCTTAAAAGACATTACTAATCTAATTTATTTCTATATATCATGTGTATTTTGACTCTCTTATACCGAGATATCTGGTGATTTGCACCTTGACTCTTCACCCACTCCAGGCTTCCATCTATTAAAATTCCAGGATTAAAATGGGTTAAGTTTCAAGTTCACTTTTAAAATACCATCTGTAGGCTTACAAAGAAGAGACTAGAACATACGCCTGTTTACAATGATTTGTCTGAACTCTATCCCTGAAAACTAAAATTTCCAACTAATTCCAGAGAATCTGTAGCTAGATATTTATGTATGAAGAGATAGGGATGGAAGAAGGGTTGAGGAGAAGACAGGAAGAAATAGTCCAAATTGATAGATAAATGAAGTTCTAAAACCAACTTGCAATGTGATTAGGTTTCTAGGTAGGCTTAAATTAACCCTAGACCTTAAACCTTCTCGAAAGCCAGATACAAACTTTCACAGATACAAACTTTTGCGGCTGACCCAGAGAAAAATTCCAACCATCTCTCTCTGGCATTAGAGAGAAAAAAACCTTTACAAACCTTCTTGAAGCCAACTTCACTCATTCTTCACACAACCCATGGCTACCAGATGGAGATTCAGGAAAAATAAAATGCTCAGGGGACCAGTACTACTCCGTTCTTTGTGTTAACCACACTCTCCAGGAAATTCATCATCTGGACCTTCACCCCATTTCTACAGTGTATTCTACTAATCTGAACCAATTTAGAAAACCACCTCCACACCATCCTTTCTAATATGTCATGTAGAAATCACAGCAAATTCTCTATATCCTAAATTCCTAGGGAATATATAGGATATATTTATTTTCCCTCATTCCTTTATTTCCTGCACAGTCTCCCCAGTTTCTTGCCCTAATGAAACCTGGCTATTTTCCCCAAGCTGCTTCTTCTGTAGCCCTCTCATGTGAAGGCTATTTTTCCTTTCATACCCACCTTGGGATCTGGAGGTTGTAAATATTTACTATGTTTGCCACTGCTACTTCCAAACCATTTCTTCCTCCTCTACCTCCCCAAATCCCATTTCCTTTGAAGTTCATGCCATCAGGCTATACTATTTGCTGCCATACTCTCTCTGGTCCCACGACAATTCTTCTTCATTCAGTGATGACTTTAATACCAGGCTTAAAATCTACTATCCAGCATGACCTCCATGACCATCCATATGGATCATCCATTTAACATCACAGTCCCTCAGTTCCTCAATCTCAACCTCACACCACTTCCACTTCATCTCGGTCATAGCTTTGACTTTCTCATCACCAAAAGTTGCATCACCTTTAAGCATCCGGCTCTCTGATTATTCCTGCTGTCCTTTTGTCACCTCTACTTTAGGACTTCCATTCCAGAAATTCTTATACACTGTGAAGGTCTCTAATCTCTGCTTCTATTACTAGTCCACTATAGTCTGCTCTCCACAGAGTAGCCAGAATGATGATTTAAAAGGTAAATTAAATCATATCACAACCCCTTTTTAAACCCTCTAATCACATTTATAATAAAATCCAAATTACTTACCCTGGCTTCCGAAGACTTCTAAGATCCTGGACTCTGTCTATTCTCCAAATTTATCTTGTACCTTTTTCCCATTATCCACTACACTCCAGCTTCACTGGCCTTCTTCAGTTCCTTTGTGCCAACTGTTCCTGTTGATTAAATCAGTACTTCCTCAATAACATCCTCAAAGAGGTCTTCCTTGACCAATAATCCAGAGGAACCAGCAAGCCACTATTTTTCACAAAATCCTATTTAATTTTCTGCATAGCATTTCTGTCTAATAATTTTCTTCACTATTTATTGTATACCTCCCCCAACTAGAATGTTTGCTCCATGAGAACAAGAACCTTGTCAGCCTTATTCACTGATTATCTCACAATTAGAACAGTGTCAAGCACATAGTAGGCACATAATCAATACTGACTGTTGAATAAACGAAACAGCTAGTACAAATAAAGAGCTGTAAGAGTGAAAAGGAAGAAAGAAAAAATCACTTTTGTCTAGAATAATCAGTAAAGGCATACGCAAGAAGTGGCCAAGTCTTCAAAACAGTTCAGGAGGCAGAAATGAGTCAAAGACCTATCATAAGCGATGCACAAACAACATATGCAATGTGTTAGAGAAAACTGAAGAGTCCAGATACAGAGCAGTAGGAGAAAGTGTTTTCTAGTACAGTTCTGGAAAATACAGCTGGATTAGTGCCGAACAAGGTAAGATACTGAACACCTTGTCAGGGACTTAGAATCCACTGAGTGGTCAATGGATGGCCACTGGAGGTGTTTGAATAGGAAAATGACACAATCCAAAAAGATGTTTTAGTAAGATGACTGGTAGCACTGCACAGGATGAATCTGATGAAGAGTTTGAAGAGTTGGAAAGCAATGAGACGTGATCAAAAGCTCAGCTGCTGGATTGGTCTTGGAAAGAAAAATGACCTACTCTTTACCCAGTAAAAGGAAGAAGATATGAAGACATTCTAAGCTAGTGGCATAGATAGAACAACCTGAGGAGAATACAATGATGACGGAATTATTACAACCAAGCATCTCAGTAAGAGTGGAACCGTGCTGAAAGGCCGCCAAGGAACCCACGTGGAGTTAAGCACACACGTGCAGTGTTCCCAGGCAACAGATGCGTTGAAGAGCTTGCGGGGCAGAAAGGGGGTAGTCTGGCTGACCCGAAGCTGGGAAAGTGCTGGCTAAGGGCAGAGTCTGGGAGGGTGTTAAAAAAAAGGCCAGTAGCGCCTCCAGTTCCTTCCACTGCCGTTGCTCCGCCTAACTCACTCCTACTTCCTACTTCTGCCACCAACCAGCAGGACTAACGTCCCCTGCTGCGTAGCCTTCAGGCGCATTGAAAAGTACCCCGGATACAGCCAGCAGCTCCACCGGCTTCTTCTCCTCCCCCAGCCCCGCCTACCCCAAGGCGCGATACTAGCTCAGGTCGCCCTCCTCTTGGGGACAAAGGGGCAGGGTCCCAATGCCTATCTTGTCATCGACCCATACACAAGCCCCACTTGGCGCAAGAAACTCAACCCGGCCTACCTTACGTCCAGGTGAAGGCATTCCTCTGAACTACGCTGTGCGCATGACCGGAAGCCTTAAAATGGCCTCCGACACGGACTATTTAAAGGGCCAGGCTCCCACTTAAAGAAGAGCCTTAAAAGAGGCCCGCAATTTCTCACGGTGTGGAGCCGCCTAGAGGCACAAAGAAGAAGAGGGCGGGACGGGGGTGGGGACGGGGCGGGCCTGGGCGGGGCCTGACGGGTTGAGCCTGCCCCAGCCGTCCCTAGGGCCGGGGTTCCTCGACCGCTGGCTCAGCCCCGCGGCGCCCCGCCCGCCCCCCGCTCCCAGCGCCTGGGCAGGTAAGGGATTCCGGCCGTGCGCGCCACCTTCTCCGCGAGGTGTCCGAGGTCCGCGTCCCGGCCTCGGCCCCTCTGCCCCAGGGTTGTGGAGGGATGGTTCGGAAGGAAAATCGCCTATCTTCAGCCCAAGTGAGAAAAGGTAGAGAGGAAGTAGGTTGCGTGGGCAGCAATTGCTCCAGGATGAAGACGTGGGTGGGTCCCTGGGGATCAGAAAGTTAGTGGTACCTGTGGAGGACCGTGGGGCGAGAAGAGACGTCACCTGGTGGCTCGGTCAGACCGCGCCTGGAATTTCTCAACTCCCGGGCGGTGTGTTCCGAGAACTCGTTTACGAAATGAAATATCTTTTCCTGAGAACCAGGAAGTAAGACCAGCACCCGGCGGAGATGCTCGCCGCGTGGAAAGCATTCCGAAGCCCCCCCAAGATTCTCTGTCAGGCTTCCAGGAACTTGGAAAGTGGAGCGGGGTTGTCAGTATCTTATCAGATAGGAAAAGTGTACAGACAGCCTGGAAACAAGAGAGGGAACGAAGGGATGAAAAGCAGACCTCAGAAAGCATTTTAGCCATTTAGAATGGGAACAAATGGCTCTCTTAGTGCCTCAAAAACGTGTCTGCCCAAGGAGCCCTAAGCGGAGAATATTAAGAATTGCCCTTTCCCTTTCTGGGGGTAATCCTTGAAGAGATATGTCAGAAAGTTCAGATTTCCTTAATTCTTCTGTTTGCACACTAAACATTCATTTGAAGTTTGCTTCCGACCTGTCCAAACAGAGCTCCTGAGCTTCCAGGCTAAACTCGCTCCTGCCACAGGCTTCTCCATCTCCATCTCCACCTCACACAGGATCCTGTGTGCTTTACCTCAGAAAATATCCATCATCCTAGTACTTCTACCTTCTTTGCTACCTCTCCGATCCAAGCCTCCAGCACCTCCACCTGGATTATTGATGTACTGAACTAATTGGTCTCTTCCTGCTTCTCTGCCTTTACTTTAATATCCTTTATTCTCAGCAGCAGTCGCCGGTGTCCTTTTAAGACATGAGTAGAGAGTGTGTCTCTCCTCTTCTCAAAACCTCCACTGTCTTTTCATCTCCCTCAGAAGATAAAGTCAATCCAAAGGCTATGAGGGCCCGAGGAGACCTGGCCCCATTACCTCTCTCATCTATTCTACTTTCCTGCCCCCTCTTCTCCAGTCTTACTGTCTCCTTGCTGTTTTTCAGTGGACCCACTCCAGACCCTTGCATTTACGATTTCTTTTGCCCAGAAACCTTTCCCACAGATATCCCAGTGGCTAGCTTTCTCATTCCTTCAAACCTTTAATCAAACGGCAGCTTCTTATTGAGGGCTACTTTGACTACCCTATTTAAAATTAAAACCCTTTCTCAGTTTATTTTTTTCCATTCCACTTGGCACCATCTAATGCACTATAAGGCAAGTGCTTATTACCTGTCTTTCTCTATTAGAATATAAGCTCCATGAATTCAGTTTTTTTTTTCTTACTTAACTTATGCTTTATCTCCAGGGACCTGGATCAATATCCAGCACAAAATAGAGACTCAGTAAATATTTGATGAATGTATAATATTTTGTCTTTTAAAAAATATATCCAAGATGTTTAAATACTTACCATTGAGATAAATCAATGTTTGAGAATGGTATGTGATGTTTAATTTATGGAATACCAGCACATATCCTATTTAAGAAGGGCAGCCCTATATAATTTATTAGGTCTAGAAGGTATCATGAGCTTTTGTTCTTAATGATGATATTGAGTTGTCCAAAAATATCTAGAATATTTTGCTTAAGAAAGCATGTGTAGATGATGTATTTTAGGAAGGTTATAAGTATTTTAAAAATACTATGCTTGATAAAATAACACTCACCATGAAAAGCTTAGCTATGTTCTCAGACCTATTAGTTCCATTCTTTCAGTTGTCCTTCACTGCTATTCTGAAAATTGAGCTTAAATACAATTCTGCACATTTCTTTTTTTTTTAAATGTGACATAAGAATAACTTCTGCTATACAATAGTCATTGCTACATTTTCTTTGATCACTTATTATTGATAGAATTAGGTGTTTGTTAATTTAAAATCTATACAGCAACTCTTAGGTAAGAGCATCTCTGTTTTTCAGATGAAGAAACCAAAGTCCAGAGAAACTGAGTTATTGACCCTGGTCACAGTTGGCTTGTGGAAGAGCTACATTAGAACCCAGGCCCAGGCAACCTCAAAGTCCATCTTCCATCCACCCCTCTACACTCTCTTCCTCTGATCAGACTGTTCGTGAAGCACAACCTTAAAACTTTATTAATGCATTTCATATGAATTTTTTGAATTTCTATTTTGAACTGTACTTTGTTTGAGAATGTGCATGCAGGTGGGAAGGCACTGGGTTCCACAAGCAGATACTCATTTTAGTATTATTTCTCAATGATCACCTTACCTCGTATTCTTGGCTGAGTTGTCTAGTGTGAAAATATGAATGGATTTTCTTTACCATGAGAATTAATGGTATGAGAAAATAGTCATGAATATATTTATTTATTTGTAAGCAATATATCCTGTTCCACTTCTGTTAATCCTAAATGTACTAAAGTAAAATCTTGAATACTTTGAAAGAGGTGACACTTTTTAATTTTTTTCTGCACATATCATTTATTTTCATTATAGAAAATGCAGAAAAGTAAATGAAAACAAAACCACCATAAAAATCACCATCAAGAGATAACCACGGTTAATATTTTGGTGTATGTTCTTCCAAATATGTGTTGGTGGTGATAGATGGATGTATGTTTTAAGTAACATTTTAAATTTTGAAGTTTAGAACTTCCAGACTTTAATATAAGGAGGAGTTGTTAGAAGGCCTTCCTTTTCTGGCATCCCTACGCTATCACCTTTGTTAGAAATCTGGATGCAGGAGAGTTACAGAATTTATTCCTCTTCTTCAGATAGACTGCTCTTATTCTCAATTCTTTGTATTTTAGCTCTAGCTTTTAGGATTACTAAGCAGTTCTACCTTTACTAGCTTTGTCAATCACATTGTACTAATTAACAATGGAGAGAAATATAAGTAAATAAGAAAAAGTAGTGTGAATGTAGCAACTGTAAAATCTATAGGCAGATGTGATTTCTTAATTTAAAAAATCAGCCTTCTGGCATTCAGCACAAATATTCTGAGTAGCTGCTAAAGCTGAATTTGGTTGGGTCCCTGCCCAGGAGAGCACACCATCTAGGAGAGAAGGCAGACCAATAAATAATAAAATATGATCATTGTTATAATAGAAGAATAACCAGGTGACAGTTTGGAGCAAAAGAGATGACTGTCAGGAAAAGCCAGTAGTGCCTTTTGTGTTGAGCTCGAAGGAATAGTAGGCATTTACCAGGTGACCCTCAAGGTACTTGAGCAATTCTTAACCTAGCCCTGGATGACCTCACCTCCTGCTTCACAGAGAAAATAACATTGTATAGGAATTCCCCCTCTTGCTTCAAATATATCTGTATCCAAACCTCTGCTTCCCTCCTGTTAGATTCAGAAGAAGAGGTTTTCTTCTATTCAGGGTTGACCCCTTCACCTCTGTTTACTATCCGTTTCATATCTTCAACCAAGTTTTTTCTTAAACCTTAAACCAGCAGTTCCCAGAGGGTGGTTGGGGTTTCTTGAGTCTCTTTCAAGAGGTTCGTAAGGTCGAAATCACGTATGGGTAAAAGATTCATTCAGAGTGCCATGGATTTTAATGTGACAAAGTTCATTGATATGGTTTCAGATTCCACACTGCAGCTAACTTTCAGGAAATTGTCACTTATCAAGTTTTAGTATAGCGTCAAAGAAAAATACTACTTTGTGAAATGGCTGTTAAAATACTGCTCCCTTTCCAACTGTATGTCTGTGTGAACCTGGACTTTCTTCATATACATTAACCCAAATGATATATTGCTGCAGACTGAATGCAGAAGCAGATATTAGAATCCAGCTGTCTTCTATTAAGCTAAAAATTAAAGAGATTTGCAAAACTATAAAAAAATTTCACTCATATTTTTGGGGGAAATATAGTTTTTAATTAAAATATGTATGCTAACATGTACATTTATTCTTATTTAAAATGAATTAATGAATAAGTAATTTTTCAATTTCTCAGTGTCAGTTTCTAATATGGTAAATATTGGCAATATAACCAACATAAACAAAAGCTCTTTGGAGTCCACAGCAATTTTTAAGCGTGTAAAGGGTACATAGTTTGAGAGCTGCTCCTTTTCTTTCCTTTTTTTTTTTTCTTTCTTTCATCCTTTCTTCCTTTCTCCTTCCCTTCATAGCCAGGCTTCCTGGAAAATGCATTTCTACCATGCACTCATTGCTCCACTAAAACAGTTCTTAAGTCACCCAAAGGCCTTCTGGTTACCCATCAGTATTTTTTCGACCTCTCTGGGTCTTTTATACCAACCTATGGCTAATTCTAGAAATCTCTGGTATTCTACTGCCCTGGTTCTCTACTTACCTCCATGACGCATCAGTACTTTTAAAAGTTTCTTTTTTTCCTTCGTTCCTTCACATTCTATATATTCCTAATAGGCAGGCTTATATTTCTTGTTGTTTCAACCAACTATTCATATATGAATATATGAGTATTCCTGAACCTGTCTCCTAAGCTCCAGACCATATATTGAGCTACTTAGTGCCAACTCCCCTAGGTGGTGCCAGAGGTAGATATTTCACATTTAACAAGACCAGGACTGAACACATTATTTCCTCTATCATCTACATAATTACCCAAGCTGAAAAAGCCAGAAATCAGCTTCTTTGTTTCCCTCAGTCT